GAGTGACAGAGACACTGTATCAGTGTTTGCTGCATCACCTGAAAACCACCTCAAAACTTAGTGGTCAGCTGGTGCAATAGCAGCTGGGGCTGGCTGCCTTAGGAAGGCCGCTCAGGCAATCTGTTATCTAGGGCCTTTCTCTACACGTGCTTCACCACGTAGCAGGCTCACCCAGGTGTATTTACTTGGTAGTAGGATGCACAAGCACATTTCAAATTCCTGCTTGCAGTATATTTGCTATTGTCTCAATGACCAAAGCGAGTCACATGGCCAGGCCCAGAGTCATTGTGGGAGGGCACTACTGAAAAACAAGGATACCAAAGATACAAAGAAGAAATTGTTGTGGCCATTTTTACAATCTCCCCTAGGTACTAATTATGATCGTAATACAGATCTGTTTACTGTATTTAAAATCAGACCAAGAACAGGTGCCATAATATGACTAGTGTTATTAAGGATATCTTGGTCACAGAAGGAATGCTATCTGCGTGTAAACTGAATGCATCAGTGAAGCACTCAGTTGTTGAAAAAGACAAAGAATAGTTGGTGATTTAACTCCAAAAATGGTAGAAATCTTTACTTGAATCGAGAAGGGCTTTTGTCATCAAATAAGAGAAAGCAAATGTTCTCATCTTCTCATCTAAACAGTGGGAGAAGTTAGGCAAGTGATTTATACTCTAGCTTAACAGCCATTCCTTTGATTTTTATGCTGTGTTTTAGAATTAGACTACAGAAAAATTATCTGTAGTGTTTTATCCTTGGTTTCAAGACCTGAGTTTTAAAAATCCACCTGTATTGCACCTGGAAGGAATTGATGATGCCTCATAGATGTATATAGTACCAGTTACACAATTTTTATTGTTGGATGTGATGATTTCTTAAAAAAATGATGTCTTTATGGTTTTCATAACAGTTCCACAGGAGAACATATTTTAACTTACCTGTTATTTCTACCCAGAAGTTGTCATTTTTATTGATAACTCATTTCATTCATTTCTCTGCATATATAAAGATAGATGGATAAACTGACATGAAATGACAAATAATGAGGAGAGGCTGGTGCATGATATGTGCAACTTACTCTCAAACATTAAGTGTGTGTTTTCTAAGAAAGGAGTTACTCTGTTTTGTGTGGATTTCCTAAGAAAAAGGATATTCTCTGATCACCATTTTACAGTTGTCAAGTGATGATTTTTCTAATGAACTTTTCCCTTCTCTCTCCAACCTTCTTCACTTTCAGATTATTACTCTGAGTTCATAGATTCTTTTTATTCAGTGTATCCTTTTTACTGCTTAGAATGCCCCAGAATTTACCAGTGAGAGCCCCTCAAGTGGCTCCTGTGTCCTGCTTATAAATCCCCCTCAGTTTTTGAGTACTCGCTTGCTTTTTTTGACACCAAAAGACGTTCCATGCCCACTCTGTACTTTTTCTGCCCTAGATCTGGATTTAGCTATCTCTTTTAAGAAGCCTTAGCTCCTTTGAGTGGGGAATGGTATTTAGAAACTAAGATTTGAGTGCTAGGTGGTAATGGGGTGTCATTGCTTCAAGGCCTTTAATGAAAAAAAGCTCAGAAGTTTTTGAAATAAATCATGAGTTCATGTTAACACTTACAGTTCAAATATAACACTACAGGATTCTTCTGTACCTTCCCCTGTTTCATATTTTGATATATAGATATTGCCAGATCCCCTTCGTAAGGCTTGTACTGTTTTGCACTCTGATTCAGCAACATATGAGAGAGCCTGTGTCCCCACAGCCTTACCAACAAATAGAGCGTTGTCAAGCTTTTGAATTTTTGCCATCTGAAATGTAAGAAGGTACATCTCTGAGTAGTTTCGATTTGAGTTTTCTCTTATTGTGGCTGAACCTAAGCATTTTTTTTTTTTTATGTTCAAGGACTAATAGAATATCCATGTATAAACTGTCTTATGTTTAGTCCTTGTTTTTGTCTTTTTTCCTTGATTTTCAGAATTCTTTAGTAGCTTATTTGTTTAATATGTAAAGAACTCTTTAATTAAAAAAAAAAAAAAACAGGAAATTCCACTTTGTGATTTGTCTTGGCTTATAGTGTATATGTGCTTATTTTTAAAATTTGTGATGTTTTATTTACACAAAAGGTTTTTATCTGTTCATTTTTTTAAATTGCATCTGGGTTTTTGCCATAGTGAGAAAGTCTTTTCCACACCTAAGTTTTAAATGTATTCACACATGCTTTCTTCTAGTACTTATGGTTTCCATTTTTACAATTAGACCTCTTATCCATTTGGAGTTTTAAGGTATGAAGTGTGGACCCAATTTAATCTTTTTTTTTTTTCAAGTACCTACCCAGTTTTTTGGGTAGCCATTTGGGCTTTCTCCTTTGTTTACAGACTATTTTGTTTAGCTGGTTGGGATAAGGATATTTTGTTATAAAAGTACATTGTATACCCTACATGTCAGCAATTGGTAGTACTTTCACAGTTGCTTGGCTCACAGAGATGCTCCAAACACTCCTTTTTTATGTGTAGGACTGTGTGTATGTAGGCTTGCTGCAGGGTCAGTGGTCCCAAAGAGAGAGGACCGATCAAAAGGACTTAGCTTCCTGACTTGTTGACAAATACCAAACCGCCCCCATTTTTACAAGTTTTATTTTGTTGTAATTCTTTCAGAACTATATTATGAAATAGTACCTTAAGTTTAACTTAAAAATTAAACAGAATAAGCATGAAAAGCACGTAATCATACCTAGAACAAAACAAAACACACATTCAGCATATAATCATTGACTGGTCCTAGCAAATACTGTGTTTAATCCCTAATAAGCAAAGAGGCAACAGACAGTGAAGTAAGCTATTGGCAGCATCTGGAAGTGAGCAAATCTGGGATTGGCTGCTGTTGAATTTAGCAGTGGAGAAAAGTAAGATGACAAACGTCTGAGAGGCAGTCGGGGTGCTGGCTTGAAACTGGATGAAGCAAGTATCAGGAGATAAGATTGCGGAACAAAGGTGCCTGGAGAGAAACACTTGCTGTTTTCTGTCTTCCAGACCCTGCCCCATCTACTACTTAATACTTAAGGCTCTGAACCTTCTGGTCTTTTTTCCTGGTTACTGGGAGAAAGGGCAATATAAACCCACATGTTCGTGAAAAGCATGAACTGTATAATAAACTGCATAGTAAATACTTCCCAGTATTAGACTACTAGCCACGAGCACAAAGCTACTTCAGCATATGAAAAAGGTACGGCTACCTAGGTTTTTAAATTAGGCCAGGTAAATATTCTTTTTGCCATTGTTACCAGTTGTAACTAGTAACTGCTATCTTCTGCTCTCTTATATTGTAATTGCTGTTGCATAACTGCTGATTCTGCCCTGCTCTGTAACTGTTGACTCTTTTCTCAGGGATAGTTTGAGGCCCAACCTAAACCCTCCTCTACCAGCCCTCCCCTACCACCCAGCTTGCAGGATTTCTACATCTTCTGGGCACACGTAACTCTTACAATCAGTTCTATCTATTTAATACTTATGCTGTATTATCTTCTTTTAAAAAATGTTTAAAAGAAGTAAGTAAATTCATCTATAATCCTACTGTCAGAGACAAATCCTGTTAACATTTTGGTATATTTTCTTTTGGTCTTTTTTTTCCCTCCTATGTATATGATTTTATAGAATCGATATCTTACTATGTGTGTGTGTGTGTGTGTGTGTGTGTGTGTGTGTGTGTGTGTGTGTATACACATATATAATATTGTATTCTGTTTTCCCCCTTTATCTTAAACCATTTGTAAATAGTATTTGAAAAGTTACATAATAGTTCATGGAGTGGATTGTGATTTACTTACATTTTCTTTTTCATTCATATTTTTCTCATTAGTCCAATTGAGATCATCAAGGGAAGTCACCATATTGTATCATCGCCCTTTCCTACTGCAATGCCTGTAGAGAATATCGTATATGTAGATGATTAATAAATATTTTTGCTTGTTCCTCTGTTTTCAGTCTGATCTTATTGGAACTATTTGCTACAGGGGACCCAAGTATTACCTGCAGCTTAGCTTACTCAGTCATTGCATCACCCAGTTCTTTCCATCTAGAAAAAGAGAACCAGAAAAAAATCTTTGTATTTTAGGGGACCTATGAATCCTTTAAAATTCTACAAAAAGTATTTTGAGTGAGCATTTGTGCATTTGCCTGTGATTTTCATTAGATTCTCGAAGGAGTCCTTATCTAACAAAAAGAGCCACTGATCCAGAAACTGCGACCCGTCTGGAGATGGAACTAAGATTTATTAAACTTATTTGAAATCTAGGATATTACATTTCACCTTTTATTTTATTTTTTTGGTTTTCAGGAAGGGATGAGACCATGCAGCCTGCAAAACCATCTTTCCTTGAATATTTTGAACAAAAAGAAAAGGAAAACCAGATCAACAGCTTTGGCAAGAGTGTACCTGGCCCACTGAAGAGCTCTTCAGATTGGAAAGTCCCACAGGATGGAGACTATGAGTTCGTAAGTAGCGTTGGAAGTAAATGGTTGTGTCTACTGGGGGAAGTTATTTGAAATGTCACACGTTCAATTCTGTCATTTTACTGAAAGTGCCTGAGCATTTTCTTACACAGTTCAAGTGTAACCACCCTAGCTGTAGCTCCTAGGCCAAGGGCCTCACCAGTTTAAGAGAACAGCATTTTGACTGACATTTGAGCAGTTCTGGGGCCCCCAATTAGTGGTATCTTTTTTGCTTTAAAAATCCTTTATTCGCTTGCCATTTTTCTTTCTGTTGAGTTTGAAATTGTTAATGGTGAAAGAAATATTTAGTCATCCAGTGAAGATGCCCTGTCTTTAATAAGTTTATTTGGGATTGCGATTTTATATTTAAGAATTAGACTGGAGGGCAAATAATGCTGTCTTGTAGTGTCTTTGTTGTTTTGCTAACCATTTTCCTAATTTTAGGCTCTCTGAGAGGATTATTCTGAATTTTGCCTGAGGATAAATAGTAAGCTGTTCCAAAGTTTCTTATGAAAAACTGGGTGTGTTTTTCATTTCTCTGCTGTGGAACATTTCTCCCTCAGCCACAGACACTTGTTAATGTTCACAGAGATTTAATGAGTAGAGGCAATAAAAAATTGGATGGAAAAAAGTAAGCTAAGGAGTCTGCATTCGTTTTCTGAATAGTTTTAGGAAAGAATTTTCTCTTTAAGAATATTTAATTTTTACATTTTTAAATTCTGACATAATTCTGTTGTTGTTTGTTAAGAGCTTAGCTTGGGTGTTGTATTGCATTCTGGGAGGCCTTTCTAGTCCTGGCTTTACACTATCCTACTGATTGGCCGAGAGGAAATGATACCATTCTTCCATAACATAATTTCTACTTTTGTAAAATGGCACGAATGTCACAGTTTATACAGCTAATGATAGAGATCTTTTGAGACCAGAATAACTTACCTGAGGTTATTTAACTGATTAGTCGCCGAACCCATATTAGAATCCATGTTCATTTGTTTTATCGTCTGTTTGTTCATTGATTCATGTATTCATCATCTACTGTTCATTATCATCTGTTATTATCATTTATGTGTTTACTTATTTATTTATTAGTTTTTTGAGCACCAATATGTGCTTGACACTTTCTAGGAATATAATAGTGAATAAAACAGCCCAAAACCTATCCCTCATGGAGGTTTCATTCTAGAAGATGTGGTAATAAGGAAGTCAAATATGTGGAATGTCAGATAGTGATAAGTGTTATAGGAAATATAAAGCAGGAAAAGGAAATTGATGGGATGGGGAAGAGAGAGAGGGGAGTGTGTGTGTGTAAATGTGTAGCAATTTAAAATGAGTTAAGGAAGTTCTCACTGGTAAGATGAGGGAGTGAACTACATGAACACCCAGAGGAAGAGCTTTTCAGACAGCTGGAGTAGCAAATGTAAGGGTCTTGAGGCAGGGACTTGCTTAGTGTATGTGGAGAATGGTGAAGAGAACAAAGTGTCTGAAATGGCATCGGGGTCATGTAGCAGAAATGAGATCAGAGACCTAACACAGAGCCAGATAATGTAGAGCTTTTGTGTACTAATAAGGACTTTAGCTTTTACTCTGAGTGAAATGGAAAACAATTGGCAAGGTGTGACTTGATACTATGTTTTAAAAAATAATATTTTTTAGTATTAATACACTATACGGAGACTAGATTTTTCTGGACACAGGTCTAGTAGTGTTGTTATGCACTGTACAAAGGAGGTCGAATATGGGGCACATCTGCTTCCATTCCATGGCATTCATATTTTCCACTGAGTCAAGATTCAGCTTCAGAATCCTTAACACAGTGTTTTTAGGCTGCCACTGCCACTGTTAATCAGAGTAGACTCATGAATTATTCTGCTCACTGTTCCACACTGCTTGTGTAGTAGTCTTCAACAAATTTGTAAGGACTGATTTTCTCAGTTTAGTGAGTCTTTAGGCAAAGATGAAATAACTTCTGGGTATCAAATTATGTCATCATTATGATAGAATGCTTACGAATCCTAAAATCTATATTCCTAGGTCTAATTTCTTTCTTTTTATATATATAGAGCAAGAGTCCCAATATCAAACATCCCTATATATATATACATACACGTTATAGACTCTAGTGATCTTGTAATTTCAGTCACTTTAAGCTAGTCATTATTTTTGGATCAGTAGTTCCAGTGTTGGAAGAATTCACTTCATTCTGCCGTAGTTTTCCCACACTAAATCATTGGCAAAGAATTTGTTTTAATGGGCAAGCTACTTATGTAAAGGGGCTTCAGTAGGTGTTTAAGGAGAGTGTTTTTACTTTAGAAGTAGGTGGCTGCTGGAGGGAGCTGGCCGTGCGCAGTGAAGAGGTTAGCGCACCACGCAGCCTGCGTCCCTCCTGGCCCGCTCAGCAGAAGGGTCCCAAGACCGCCCTCCCCACCAGAGGCTAATCCAACAGCACCCAGTTCACGGACCTTTGTGTGTGTCCTGTACAGTGTTTAAAATTTTTTAGATTAGTTACCTGTGTTTAAAAATTGAGAGCTTTTACATAAAAAGTTGGCTCTACAGCTTTTTTTGAAAACTGGGAAGATCCGGCCATGATAGACCTACATTATTGGGTGACGCGTTGTCCAGCCGAGTAGCAGCCGCCCCACTGGGGTGCGACCTCAGTATCTGGCCTGCCCCCTTCACTGGTACTAACTCTCTGACCTGTCTGGCATTTAGGGATATTCGATATTGGGACTCTTGCTCTAACTCATTTGGATTCGTCTATGTTCGTTCACACTGTACCTGAGCCTACCGATCCTGATATACAGAATTTTATTCTATTTTTACCTTCAGAATTTCAAGATAATTCATTTTTTAAGTTCTCTTTAAAGAAAATATGAAATTAAGCAATGAAAGAAAATTTAGGTAGGGCGTACATGAGCTGCTATACCACAAAGGAGTAAAGAGCAAATGAAAACTATTTTTAATGCCTTGATATTCTTGCTGTATAGCTCTTGCCTTAATCCCGAATCAAGCATCTGAAATAATTGTCTAAAATAGTGTTTCTCAAAGTGTGGTCCCCCGACCAGCAGTGTCAGCATCCCCTGGAAAATTGGGAATGCATTGTCAGACCCCAACCCTGACACACTGAATCAGAATCTCTGGGGACAGGCAGCACCTGGTACCCTGTGTTTTAACCTACTTTCTGCGTGATTGTAACCTACTAAATTCATGTAAGTTTCTTCTTTTTTTTTCTATTAGATACTACAGAAATTCAGATATAAAAATGTATTCATATTTTATTAATATTGCATGATTTTTAAATTTTCTTTTTACTCCCCTTTTGAGTCTCCAGTACTCTTCATGGAGGAATGAAAAAAGCACATTAAATAAGGAAATGTACATTTGTAAGTGACATCTGGCAAAGATAGAGCCAATCTGTTGAATGAAGTATTCTGAATACTCTCACTAAGCTTAAAGAAGGGTATGTGTCAGACTAGCTGACATATTTCCCTTTACAGTCTCTTACAGAGACTTCCTAATTTCCCGACAGGCAGTATTTAATTGTGGAAAAGATATTCTTTCTTCCTGTGAAGGCAATTCCTATTTTGAAATGAACTTTTTACCCACAATGTCTAATAGGAAGTAATTTAATTAGCAATGGCAGAATTTGGTAATTTAATCAGGAATGGCAGGAAGCGATGCTGACAAAACTATATTTTCATCTGAAACTCAATACTTATATTTCTAAAACCGAACTGCCTCATTTGCCTAGTTGAAAAATGCGACAAAGATTTTTTTTAATGTTTAGCGATTGAAGTATAAATAAGACGTGTTCGAGAATGCAATATTCTCTAAAATTGGTTCTTCATATTCTAAAAACAGATTGCATTTTTGGAAATGAATGCTACTTTTGTGAGAATACAGACCCTCCCATCTTGCCATCTGTAAAGCCACAAAAAGCTGTAAACTTGAATCCAGTTTGACTCGTGGATCTTTCAAAAACACACTGTAAGATTTTAGTCTAAGATGGCTGGAGTGCCCTGAGTGGTGAACAAGACAGACAAGGCTCATGCTCTCCTGGAGCTTAGAGGGTGGTGAGAGAAATAGACGTTAAGTCAGGTAATAAATAAGTTCAGGTAATAGTAGCTCTTTAAAGAAAAAAAGCGCAGTAAAGAGATACTATGAGAGAAGGCCTTGCAGAGGGACAAGACATTCAGCTAAGACCTAAATGAAGAGGGAAAGGTGGAAGGACCTTTAAGCCATGGGACAATGGAGGGACCAACAAGTAAAAGACTGAAGCAACCATGATGGGTGTATGTAAGGAAGGAATAGTCATGGTGGCTGGAGCAGAGTGACAGACAGGGTAGCAGTCCAAATGTAAACACATCAATAATCACAATACATATGAGTGCATTAAAATCTGTTCAAAGATGGACTCTAGATAAAAATAGCAGTCAAAATCCAGCTAACGACTGTTTATAAAATAAAATATCACTGAACAGTTTACAGCAGAGGAGTGGAAAAAGATAGAGTAGGCAAATACTAAATAAAAGAAAGTAGGTAAAGTAATATTAATATCAGATAAAACAGACTACAGGAAAAACAAATATTACAGGGGAAAGAGATATTTATTGCTTAGGTGTATTTGATCCAGAAGACAGAAGTCATGAACCAATACAAAGCACACATATTTATCTAAAAACTGATAGAAATAACAAGGAGCATTGAGCAAACTGCTAGCATAGACGAAGACTTAAACATTCTTCTCTCAAAAAGTGACCTTTCAATGAGACAAAAACAAGATACCACAATTATCAAGGTTGCTAAAACAGAGAATGGGAGCACTTTTCAAATATCCATGAGACTTTAAAAATATATATGGAATATCACAAAATCTGACTGTTTTAAAGTTCTTGAAAAGAAATCTCAACACAGAAATCATACAGTCCACATTCACTGACTATTATACAATAAAATTAGAAATCAACAATATTAAAGTAGCCAAAGTAAAATATACTTTTACATTT